ATGACAATATAAGCATTCCCACATACACTTTGTGCTGTACCTCCTAAGGCACATTGGTTACAATCAAAAAGAAATGATACATTACTACTAACTAAAGTGCGTATTTTTTTCAGATTTCCTTCATTCCTACCTAATAATCTTTCATCCTCTTACTTCTGACAGGAAGTATGCTCTTAGCCAAAGCTACAAGCCAGAGAGACAATTTGTTCCCAGGATCCCTTGAACAACCTTACCAACCACGGGTAGAATAGGGTCGTAAAGGGATGCAGGTTCAGAACAATTTGTGGGCTGTCAGTAGTCACAGGGAAATTACTATATAATATACTAGATTCCTGTTCACCCACTGCCTGGTAAGGGCTTTGATCCTAACCAACTCACTTGCCTATCAAGTCTGTATGCACTCAAAACTCAGACGTGGGGAACTAAGATACCTTATCTAGAAGGCTAAAGGAGTACAGAAGGGTGGTACCTCATTCTTAACAGTTTTTGATCAGCTACTGAGAGACTGAGGGAAGAAATAGCAAGAATTAATCCTTGTCAGATACTATATTAAAAATGTAAAAGTTTTCTCATTTCTATAATAACAGAAACTACTATTCTTTCATTTTATAAAAGTCTCTCTGAAGGGTAAAGTGGTTAATCTAATTATTATAAAGTTCCTAGATGGCAAAGTTCAAACTAGTAACCTCACTGTAAAATGCATCATTTCTTAAGAAGTACTCAAGTCTGACCCCTTCCCCAGAGACTGTAGTCTTTTTATTTCCACTTATTTTAAATTAAGAATGCTGAGATCAGACAGGCTAGTGGTGCCTTGTCTCTCTAGGTCTCCCTCTACAAAGTACTTTTCCTAATAAATTTCTTCCTTTGCTTACAAAAGTAATCCTACACCTACACACTGAGACAGCTACAAATCATATAATCCAGTCTCAAATGGGACCTTATCTCTGTCCAACAATCCTTTAGATTTATTCCCTCTCTCATCCAGATTTCCTAGTCTCCCAATTGTCTTCCCTCACTCTCAGGAAAGAAAATACTCTCTTCATCTTACGATCTTATTCAATATTCTCATCTTCCCATGTTTAAACTTATTTACATTTGAGCTTTTTCTTCCCCTTTACCCTCCTGTCACAAAAAAAAATGTTCTCTTTAAGACTCTGGTTTCCCTCTTACCTAATCTCACAAAGCTCCAGCCATCTCCCTTTCTCTCCTTTATCTCAAATCTCATCATTCTTCCTGGCTGTTTTAAATCTAAATATGCTTCCAGCTACTTTATCTCCTATTTATTAAGAACCCTTTCTTCCTGTTCTACATAAAACCTCAAAATTCAAACTCAATGCCCCAGAATCAGAACTGACTCATATTGACCCTCCAGTGAGTTTTCAGAGGTTGTAAACTATATGGGAGAAGAATGGCCATCTTTCTCTCACAGGTAGGCCAGCTGGTGGATACAAACCATCAACTTTTGGGTTAGCAATACAACTAACTGTCAATCCACTAGACCACCAGAGCTCTCTACATAAGCTTCTCTTAAAAACGATTTAACCAGTGTCAGCCTTGAAAATATCCATGTTTGGTCTTTTACCAAGGATTTTCCAGTGCTAAAGATTGACAGCACACAAAAAAAGATTCAATCTAATGTCACCTCTTCATTCATCCATTTATTCCTCAGTCTACTGCAATCTAGCTTCTGCTCCAAACTCTACTAAGAAACAGTGCTGGTTAGAAAGCGAACACTCAGGGGCGCTCTGGTGGCCTAGTGGTAAGGAGCTGCAACTACAATCCCAGAGGTGCCCAGTTCAAATCCAAAAGATGCTCTGCCGGGGAAGGAGGGACAATCTCCTCCTGTGCCAATCAGATCTGATTTGACAGTACACTCACACAAAAATAATAAAATAAAAATTTTAAAAAAAAAAACTTCTTTAGAAAAAAAAAGTGATCACTCTTCTATCAATTCTGTAACCCAAAATTCCTGGTTTACTGACCTTTCTGATCATTCTATCTAACAATTTATTAAACAAATATTCAAATGGGAAAGATCCGGTGTGAAAAACAATACATATGAACTTTATAAGTAAACCAGTATGAAATAAAAATTTTATTTGAAAAAAAAACAGTCACTAGAAGCCTACCATGAGCTACAGTTTTGCTTAAAATAGATACATATGTACTTATATGTAAAAATATCACAGACTCCTTGTTGATGTTGGTATTTACTCATAGAGGACCCTCCAGAAGATTTTCAGCCTGTAACCTGTACATAGGAGGAGACTGTCCATCTTTCTTCTAAGGAGCAGACGGATTCAAACAGCTCACCTTTAAGATGGCAGCACGACACCCTATCCATTATTTTCGTGCTACTGAGTTGACTATGAATTACAGCAACGTTTATATAAACAATAGATCAAAATCCTGTCCTACCTTGTGGCATTTTCAAGATCTCTGCCATGCTCAAGTCCACGGTTGCAGTCACTGTGTTAATGCATCTCATTGAGAATCTTCTCTCTCAATGGTCTCCTACCTTTCTTTGATTAAAATTATCATCTGCTTGCTGACCTACCAAAATTCTCTCCCGTTTTAAACTGTTCCCCAGAGAGCTCCAGATGTTGCTTAAAAAACAAAGCCGAACTGGTTATATAACTTAAATGACCTTCCTCGACACCCACCATCAAGTTGCCCAAACCAGAAATTTTGGACTCTTGCCTTTTCCTTATCCTAGATACTGTTAAGTCCATTTTGACTCACAGAAATCCCAATGGGCAGAGCAGAACTGCCCCAAAGGGCTTCTGGGGATACCATCTTTACAAAAGCATATTTCCAGGTCTTTCTCCCATGGAGCCCCTAAATTCATGCATGTATGTCTCAGAGTAAGTTCTCTTGTAAATCTGATAAAACTTCATTGGCTCATAAATGCTCTCAGATGAAAATATCACTTCTCTGGAATAGCATACCTGGCCCTTCATGGCCCTATTTACTTCTCCAACCTCATCACTTGCAACCATTCCCCTACTCCTGCTCCCGTCTTCTACCTTCTGCTACCAACTTGATGCCTTTAGGGTTATGTACACTTACCAGCTTTCAAAGGTGCTACCCTCCTCCTAAAGAATCTGAAGAGTGTAGTAGTTAACTGGCTACTACTAATCAATAGGGTGGCGGTCTGAACCCACTGGCCACTCCACAGGAAGATAAGGCTGTCTACTTCTGTAATGCAATCACCTGTTATGCATCAGAGAGTTGGACAATGACCAAGGAGGATAGAAGGAGAATTGATGCCTTTGAGCTGTGGTGCTGGAGAAGAGTATTGACAGTACCATGGACTGCTAGGAAAACAAACAGATTTGTCCTGGAAAGGGTTAAACCGGGTGGCTCCTTGGAGGCAAGGATTCTGAGGCTCCTTCTAACTTACTTTGGACATGTTGTGAGGAGAGACCGGTCCTTAGAGATGGACATCATGCTTGGGAGGGTGGAGGGACAGCGCAGGAGAGGAAGGCCCTCTATGAGGTGGACTGATTCAGTGACTGGGATAACTGGAATGGGAGTGTCAGAGACAGTGCGATTGGCACAGGACAGAGCGGAGTTTAGGGCTGTTGTACATAGGGTCGCTATGAGTCGCAGGCGACTCGACGGCACATAACAACAACAACACTTCTGTAAAGATTTATAGCCTTGGAAACCCTGGTGAGACAGTTCTACTCGGTCCTATAGGATCACTAAGAACCCCAAAAGACTCAACTTGGCAAAAGGGTTGTTTTTGTCCTGTCTTGCCCCAAAACTTGGTGTCATCTTTACATTTCTTGTGCCTGGCTTCTTATACGCTGTTGAGTGGGAACAAACTCATAGCAGACCCTCCAGTGGATTTTTAGAGGTAGTAAATCACACCAAAGGCAGCTCTGGAGGCCTACTGATAAGAAGCTGTGCTGCAATCCTGAAGATACGCGGTTCAAGGCTACCCGTCTCTCTGTGGGAGGATGGGGAATCTCCTCCCGTGCGATTAACTCCCTCTGAAAACCCACTAGGGGGGGGTCAGCTATGGGTCCGTTTCGACTCAGTGGTACACAATAACAACAAACTGCACCAAAGGAGACTGCCCAGCCTTCTCTCGCAGAGCAGCTGGGGGATCCGAACTGCCTGCCATTGTGACTGCAACGCAGCTTCTCACCACTAGGCCACCAGAGCTCCCTTGTGCCTAGCCACAAGCTCCTATTCCTCCAATTCCCCCTCACCCCCTAGGCTGGGCTGGCTGGTTCTCTTCCCTGCTCAATTCTGAGCCGTATCCCAACAGTGATAATGGCGAGTAATTCGGTGTTGTCTCCTCTCGACTGTGAGCTGAAGGTGGCAAGTGTGACCTGCTCATCCTTCGGCCCCAGCACCTAATAGCTATGAAGCACAAACAGACTTCTGTAAAAGGAATTCACTGTCTCAAAAGGGTTGCATCCCATCCTGGGGGCCTCCATTCCTAGGAGTGTTGGGGAGCCGGGGGAGAGAAGGAGCTGGTGACCACTAGTTGGCGATTCCCACAGAGCCCTCACATAAAAAGATGAATAAAAGCAGCTTAGAGAAAAAGACTCGCGCCTTCCCAATGGGAATAAATGGCCTTGCCACTGTATCCATCAGATTCGGCCTCCCTTCTAAAAGTCCCACACAAACTTTCCCCATCAGACTTTTGTAGCACCCTCCCGACTACTTCAGCCTTCGCCCAGACACCCCCCCCCCTTAGCCTCCTCCCTCTGCCTCTATCTCCTTTTCTCTCTCCTCCTCCTCCCTCAGTCTCATCCTCCTTCCTCTGGCTCCTCTTTCAAGCCTCGAACTCCTTTCCTCTCAGCCTCTTCTCTCAGCGCCGTCCTCCTTCCTCCCGCAGCCTCGTCCTCCTCCATCTCAGCCTCCTCCCTCAGTCTGGAGCGCCTCGTCTATCAGCCCCCCCCCAATCGCCCCAGCCGTCCCTCAGGGCTCCCCGACCTAAGCCGCCCTCCCTCCACCGCCCCCGCCGCGAGGACGGTGCTCACCATCGTAGTAATAACAGACTTTCCTCTTGGTGCCTTGAGTCTGCGCCATCTTGCTCGCCTCCAGTGGATTCAGTCAGTCGGTCTGTCTGCTCTACAGCCCGTAGCTCCGCGCAGCGGCCGACCCAGGGGGAGGGGGCGGGTCTCCCGCCAGCTCCGCCCAGCCAGCTCCGCCCTCCCCCCCCGGGCTCACCTATAGCCGCGCAGCCCGGGCACGGCTCCAGCCAATCAGCTTGAGCAGAGACGGCCCGGAACTCGACAGGGGGCAAGGGCAGCCTTCAGAGGCGGCAGAGGCCCCCTGGGCCTGTACCAAGGTCCTCAACAGGGGGGTGGGGAGCAGGCTAGGGACCGTACCATTAGTCCCGGGGGAGGAAAGCAGATCTGTAAACTTCGCAGGGCCATTTGTCGTTGTAATAGTGCTTGGAGATCAGAGGCCAATTTTATAATTTTATAGAGGATAAACTGAGGCCTAGAGGAAAGTACAACTAGACGCTCCTTAAGAAACCAGCATGGCGAGACTTCCTCCTTCCTCTCACTGTGCAGAGTATCATGGAGAAAGACATGTTTGGTATAAGAGAGTCAGCGAAAAGCAGGAACACCTCAATAAGATGGATTGACACAGTAGCTGCAACAATGAGTTCAAACACGGCCAACGGGTTATGAAGTTGGCGCAGGACCTAGCATTTCCGTTCTTACATATGTAAGGTCAGAAAGGACTCATGTCACCTAACAACAGCATAAAAGAAAAATGACTTAACAAGGCCACTCAGCTAAGGAAGGGACTGCAACTAAGTTAAAAAGCAGGTATAAAGGAGGGCTAAATAATAGGAGAAAGCACCGTGCAATATAGCTTTACTAATTTTTTATCTACCTTAATCTCATCTTTCCGAAAAAGATATCTTCAGTCTCAAATCTCCTTCGGCGTCTGCGTTTCGAACTGGGTCACCCCCTTACACACACAGTGTCTGGAACCCACGGAGTCACACATGATGGGATCTGAGAGCTCTCATTAATCTCCTTGATGTGTCTTGCAAAGGGTGAAACCAAGTCTCTCCTTGGAGGCTAGGATTTTGAAGCTCCGCCTCACTTAATTTGGGCACGAGGCCATGAGATTGGTTTTAGGAGGACATGATGCTCAGAAGGGTGGACACAGGAGAGGAAGATCCTGGATGAGATGGATTGATACAGTAACTGGGCCAATGGGGGTTGGTGTGTCGGAGTTAGTGAAACTGGCTCAGGACAGGGCAGGATTCAGAGCTGCTGTACATAAGGTCACTATACATCACAGGTGACTCACGGCACATAACAAGAACATACCATGACAGGTTTAGAAGCAGGAGTGGCATTCACTTTCTAAATAACATGCCTCTGCCAACTCCACCTATTATCCCCATTTTACAGATAAGGATGATGAAGTCCAGACCTTTATGAACTGTTGAATCACGTGCCAAATAAACCAAAACTAAACTCTCTTCCACATAAGCGTTATGCCACCAGGGCTCCCTACATATGATTAATAATTCAATTTAATTTTCACTTTTACCGATTTCTGAATGTCGTCTGCACACTGGAGATGTTGTTGTTGTTGTTGTTGTTAAGTACCGTCGAGTCCTTTGCGACTCATAGCGACCCTATGCACAACAGCCCGAAACCCTGCTCAATCCTGCGCCAACCGCACTGCCTCTAACACAGTCATCTTGATTACCCCAGTCACCGAATCAATCCATCTCATAGAGGGTCTTCCCCTCCTGCGCCGTCCCTCCACCCTCCCAAGCATGATGTCCCTCTCCAAGGACCCGTCGCTCCTGGCAACAAGTCCAAAGTATGTCAGACGAAGCCCCAGAATCCTTGCCTCCAAGGAGTAGCTTGCTTTAATCCTCTCCAAGATGAATCTGTTTGTTTTCCTGGCAGTCCATGGTACATTCAGTACTCTTCTCCAGCACCAGAGCTCAAAGGCATCCACTCTCCTTCTGTCCTCCCTAGTCATTGTCCAACTCTCTGATGCATAACAAGCGATTGCAAAGACCATGGCCTGTATCAGGTGCACCTTAGTCTCCAGAGAGACACCGTTGCTCCTGAGTACTTTAGAGAGGTCCCTAACAGCAGACTTTCCCATAGCGATATGCTTTTTGATTTCCTGACTGCTGGTGCCAAGAGTGTTGACTGTGGAGCCGAGCAAACGGAAACTGTGAACACTCTCAATCTCTTCGCCATCCATCCTGACGCTGCCAACAGGTCCAGTGGTGAGAATCTTTGTCTTCTTGACATTGAGCCTCAGTCCATACTGAAGGCTGCAGTCCTTGACCCTTCTCAGCAAGTGTATGAGGTCCTCCTCAGTTTCAGCAAGCAGGGTTGTGTCATCTGCATAACAGAGATTGTTAATAGACCTTCCACCAATCCTGATGCCACAATTCTCCTCATAGAGCCCAGCCTCTCGGATATTCTGCTCTGCATACATGTTGAAAAGGTATGGAGACAGGATGCATCCCTGGCGTACACCCTTCCCAATTTTGAACCATGCAGTGTTACCCTGCTCTGTTCCGACTACTGCCTCTTGGTCCAAGTATAGGTTTCGCATTAGCACAATTAAATGTTCTGGGATTCCCATTCTTCTCAGAGTCAGCCACAGTTTGTTATGATCCACACAGTCAAATGCCTTTGCATAATCAATGAAACACAGATAGACATTCTTCTGGTATTCCTTGCTTTCAGCCAAGATCCATCTAACATCAGCAACAATATCCCTAGTACCACGACCCCTTCTAAACCCAGCCTGGACTTCTGGAGATACTGAAACAAAATGGCAGGACTCAGCCTTTCTGACTCCAAAGTTCCCTCCTTGATGCAGGCACTCAAGAGGATTAAGGAGTATCTTCACATCCAGTTACAAAGAGTGTAAAATCAAAGGCTCTAGGTCAGTGCATAAACTCACCAAAGTCACTGCCTGTGAGTTAGTTCCAACTCCCTGGGGTTTCCTGTGTATTAACATTTTAGGTTGTGGTCTGAGTTTCTAGTGCTGCTGGAATACAAATATCACTAAAGGATGGCTTTAACATATTTTGTCACAGTTAGGAGGCTAGATATCTGAATTCAGGGTGCTCTGTTGGCTCTGGGGTTAGATCTTTGTCTCCTTTCAAAATCTGTAGGCCGGATATTCCTTGCTAATTTTTACGTGTCTTGCCATACATAGATCTTCCTCTGGGCCTAGGAAGTTCTAAGTTCAGGGAACCCAAGTCCAAAGGAATCATACACCACTCTCAGTTCTTTTTTGTTTATGGTAGTCAGTTCTCTCTTTCTCAGCTAACTTTTCTCTCCTTCTCTTATAAAGTAAAAAGGTGATGTGGGCTACACCCCAAGAAAATTTACATTTACAGCAACTGTTGTTAGTTGTTGTATAGTCAACTACAACTCATAGGGACCCTATGAACAACAGCTCTGAACTCTGCCCTATCCTGTGTCAACCTCTCTCATCATCTCTGATATGCTCCAGCGCATTTTTACAGTCCCTGTGTCAATCTGTCTTATTGAAAATTTTCCTCTCTTTCACTGACCCTCTACCTTTTGAAGTCTAATATTTTTTCCAAGGACTGGTCCCTCTTGACAATATACTTGACAATGAAATTTTACTATCCTTGCCTTGAAAGAGCACACTGGTTACACTTCAACCTGCATAAGGGTTTTGCTTCCCACCCAAATTGCCTTCTTTTTGTTTGTTGTTAGGCATCAATTTTTTTTTTCCTCTCTCTCTCATCCTTATTCATTGTCCAACCCAACACAGTGCTTTTCAATTTTTCAGTTTTCAATAACGGCCAGTTGACAATAAATTTATATATTACAGTAGTTCTTAAGGGGGATATAAAGGGTAGTTTAAACTCTGCCTGCTCTGGGGACACGTGATAATTCTGTAGGCATTTGGGTTGTTACAGTTGGAGGTCAGAGGATGTTACTGGCACCTAATAAAGTGCAGCCAAGGTGATCCTTAGGATGGTGAAACCTCATCTCACATACTTTGGGCATGTTGTCAGGAGGGGCCAGTTTTTGGAAAGAGACATCATGTTTAGAAAGGTGGAGGGATCAGTCCATCCTAAGATGGACTGGCACAGCGACTGTAACAATGTCATTGTTAGATGCTGTTGAGCATAGCGGCCCTATGAACTACAGATCTGAACATTTTTTTCCTATCCTGTGCCATTCACATCATTTCTGACATACTTGAGCCATTATCATATCAATCTACCTTTTTAGGAATCTTTTTCTTTTTGGCTTTCCCTCTACCTTTCCAAGCAGGACGTCCCTTTCTAAGGAAAAACCTCTTTTAATAACATGTGCAAAGTATGTGAGATGAAGCTAGGTCATCTTTGCCTCCAAGGAGCATTCTGGCTGCACCTTCTGTAAGACATATTTGTTTGTTCTTTTGGCAGTTCATAGACTATTCGGTACTATTCTTCAACAACACAGCTTAAATGCATCAATTTTTCTGTCATCCTTATTCAAATGAACAGTGGGCTGGAGAGTATCAGAGATATGCAGGATAGGGGAAAGTTCAGACCTGTTGTCTATAGAGTTGCTATAAATTATAGTCAACTCGATAGCACCAAACAACAAGAAGAAGTAGAGGTCAGGGATGCTGTTAACAGCTGTCATGGATTGAATCATGTCCTAAGTTGACTTGCCATGATTTCTCAGTGGCTGGTAGATAAATAATGATGCATATAATCATCCCCCAGGATATAATTAGCCAGTTGCAAGGCCATTAGGGTGGGAGGCAACCACCAGAAGTTTAAGCAGTATTTAGAAGAGGCTGTGGCACCAGGGATATGAATGCTGATGTCAGATGGATCTTGGCTGAAAATAAGAAATACCAGAAGAATGTCTATTTGTGCTTTATTGTCTATGCAAAGGTATTTGACTGTGTGGATCATGACAAGTAGTGGCTGACATTGAGAAGAATGGGAATCCCAGAGCACTTGATTGTTCATGCGGAAGTTGTACCTGGACCAAGAGGCTCTTGTGCAAACAGAGCAGAGCACTGTGTGGTTTGGAGTTGGGAAGGGAGTGGGCC